CAAAAACAATACATAAACAGAACTATAGAAAAAAAAAAAAAAAAAAAAAAAAAAAAAAAAAAAGGACCAGGGTGGCTGGGTGGCTCAGTTGGTTATGCATATGACTTCGGCTCAAGTCATGATCTCAAGGTTCAAGAGTCTGAGCCCCATGTCAGGCTCTGTGCTGACAGGTCAGAGCCTGCAGTCTGCTCTGGACTCTGTGTCTCTCTCTCTCTGACCCTCCCCTGCTCACACTCTGTCTCTCTCTCTCTCTGTCAAAAATAAATATTTTTTTATAATTTATTTTAAAAAAGGACCAAGTGACTGAAAACTAAAAGCTTCATTTTGGTGAAGAAACAAAATGACAAAAGAGACCAAAAAAAAAAAAAAAAAACCCCACCAAACAGTGGGTTTTACATAAATGATTTTTGTAAATTTTTGAATCACAGATGATTCAGACATTTGAGGCTGGCAATAAAGGAATTTAAAAATAACTCTGATTCATATGTACAAGGAAAGATCGGGAAAGTCACTGAGGACCTGTTTATACTTTTGAAAGAGTCTAATGGAAATTCTAAAAATAAAAATTATTAAAAGTAAAATTTCAATAGGTGGAGAAAGAGAAAGAGAAAATCCAGAGTGAGTCACAGAGATAAATAATAATAATAATAATAATCTTGTGGTGTTTATGTACCAGTGTCCTGCCGCAGGAAGAAATCGCTTATGCAAACAGACCAGATCATACCCTCAAGATATTCAGGTGAACTCAAACTAACTAGATCAGTAGCTCAGACCAGACCAAACTCCTAATTCTACCTGCATAAAAAGGAAAAGGGCACACTGTCTCTAGGGGAACATTAATATTTATTTCAGCCCTTATTGTGTGTGTTTTTTTTTTAAGAAAATGCCCAGCACAAAGTCACTATTTGCACGACATGCAAAGAAGCAGGAAAATGTGACCCCCAAATCAGGAGGAAAAAAAGACTGTCAGAGGAAACAGACCATAGGTGACCCTGATGCTGGATTTACAGTCAAACACTTTACAATAACTATTATAAACATTTAAAAATCAGATGAGAGGAGAAGATGGCCAAAATGTATTAAAAGATGGGGGATTTCAGCAGATAAATGGATCCTCTAGAAAAGGAAGAGATGGACAATGGAGAATTTAAAATGTCATTATCTGACAGAGTATTAAAAAAGGATTAGTGGACTTGAAGCCAAGTCCGTAGGAATTGACCAAAATGAAGCCTGAAAAACTGGAGAAAAAATGAGAGTACAGCAACGGGACATATGAGACAATATTCAGAGTCTCGGACATAGTTTCCAAGGTATTCAGGCTATAATAGAAAATCCAGCATTCTCCTAGAACCAGGAACATCTCAAGTGAGTGAGAAGACAATCAATAGATCTAAGGAGATGATGCCAGTGTTGGAATTAGCCAGCAGGGATTTTGAAGCAGCACACCATAATGAGCAATGTTTACAAACATGCTTGAAATAAATAACAGCATAGAAAGTCTCAGCAAAGAAACAGAAAATATAAAGAAGATCCAAATGTCAATTTGGGGACTGAATGGGTATATTAACCAAAATTAAAAACTCATTGTATGGAATCAACAGAAAAATGGACAGGGCAGAGGAAGGAATCCGCGATTGTGAAGGTAGGAAAACCAAAGCAACAAATCTGAACAGAGAAAAAAAAGGATGTAAAAGAATGAGCAGACCCTCAGGGACCTGTGGGATGATAATAAAAGATCTAACATTCATGTCATTGGAGTCCCCAAAGGAAAGGGCAAAGAGTACAGAGCCGGAAAACCATTCAAAGAAATATGGCTGAAGTCATCCCAAATTTGGCAAAAGACATAAACCTATGTGTTCAAGTTGCTGAACCAACCCCCACCCTGATAAACCTAAAGAAACTCACACATCAGGATCGAACTTCAGAAAACTAATGACCAAGGGAAGTTTTTAATTTCGAAGCAGTGAGAAATGTAACCTACAGGAGGAAGCCAACTTGAGTGACAGCGGATTTCTCATCAGAAACTGGGGAGGCTAGAAGGAAGGGGCCCTTTTTTTCAAGTGCTGAAAGCAAAGAACTTTCAGCTCTGAATTCTATATCAGGCAAAATTCCTTCAGGAAGGAATGGGAAGTAAAACATTCTAAGATGAAGAAAAACTGAGAGAATGTTTTGCCAGCAGATCTACCTTAAAAGACTGGCCAAAGGAAGTTCTTGAAACAGAAGGGAAATGATTTCTAAAAAAGGAATCTTAAAACATCAGAGAGGAAAAAGGAACATAAGAACAAATAATGAGTAAATACAATAGAGTTTTCTTCTCTCTCGAGTTTTCTAAATTATGTTTGATGGCCAAACCAAAAAGTGTAACCCTGTCTGATGTGGATTACAATGGGTATAGAGGAAATCTTTAAGATAATTCTATTTTAAGTGGGGGAGGAAGTTTTCTGTATTTCACTCAAGGCGGTAAAACGTGGACATCAACAGATCTTTGTGGTGATGGAATGGTTCTGTGTCTCAACTTCAGAAACGATTACATGAATCTACACGTGTGTTAAAATGGTATAAAACTACGCACACACATTGTACTGATGTCTGTTCCCTGCTTGCGACAGGGCACCACAATTATACAGGATGCAACTACTGGAAAAGTTGAATGAAGAGCACACGGGACCTCTGCATGCTACCTTTGGAACCTCCAATAAATCTATAGTTGTTTCGGTATAAAAAGTTCTCAGGCTAGCCGATGAATCTTCTTACCTGAATGTGTTTCTGCAGAAATTTAAAAAGCACTGGCAATATAAATGCCATGTTACAAGCCTTCGTTAAGGTCCCTGAAAATGGCTACAAGAAAAAATAAATGAATAAAAATAAATAAAAAGTTCTTTTAAAAAAAGAAGAAAGAAAGAAAAGGATGAAGGCGAAAGAAATGAAATTTTCAGGGGCGCCTGGGTGGCTTAGTTGGTTAAGCGTCCAACTTTTGCTTAGGTCATGATCTTGCGGTTCGTGGGTTCGAGCCCCGCGTCAGGCTCTGTGCTGACTGCCAGCTCAGAGCCTGGAGCCTATTTCAGAGGCTGTATCTCCCTCTCTCTCTGACCTTCTCCTGCTCATGCTGTCTCTCTCTGTCTCTCCTAGAAATAAGTAAAAATATTTAAAAAAAAAAAAAAAGAAATGAAATTTTCAGACACTTGAAAGCAAAGTGATTTTGTCACCGGCTTACTACAAGAAGAAATACTGAACAATTTTTTTTAGACAAAATGGAAATAGCCCCACAGGGAGGCACAGAATTATGGGAAAGAATAATAACATGGGAAGGAGCAAATAAGTGGTTAAATATATATTTACATTATTTTTACAAATATATGTTAACTGTTTAAAACTTATAAAAGAGAAGTAAAAATATATGAAAACGTCAGCCTACAAGGCAGAAGGGGAAAACTATAGTTCAACTTTTCTAAGGTTCCTGCACTGTCTGGGAAATGATAAAAGTGCTAATTTAAGGGAGACTGTAGTAAATCAGAAATGCATATTGACATCTCTAGCCTATAAAACCACTAAAGTGATACAAAAATGCCTGACTAACGATCTAATAGATCAAATGTACTAATACTTGATTATTCTTAAATAAAGTAGGAAAGGTCAGTTAAGGAGAAAGGAACAGAATGGAACATATAGAAAACATGGCAGACGTAAAGCTAACCATAAGTTCACTTCATTCAATGTAATGGAATAGACACTCCAATTAAAAGACAAAAATATCAGACTTGATAAAAGTCAAGATCCACCATGTGCTGTTGACCAGGTGGACACTCTACACAGAAGAATGGCTGAAGGGCACGGAAACTTTGAGAGTGAGAGGCTGGAAGAAGATGCCATCATTATCCCGTAATTCTGCCTTCTGCTTTGTCTCCTCTTTTGTTAAATCTTTCTAGTGGGTTCTTTGACATCAGATACTATCTTTTTCGGCTCTAGAATTCCTGTTGGATTGTTTTTAATGGATTCCAGTTCTCTTTTGAAATTCTCCACCTTTTCATGAGTTTTCTTGATCTCTTTCCTGTTGCCTTAAGCATATTGATGATGGTTCCTTTAAAGTCCATGTCTGATGAAGAGAAGTTAAGAAAATAACCCTGTTTACAATTGTACCAAAAATAATAAAGCACCTAGGAGATAAAAAACCAAAGAGATAAAAGACCTATACTCTGAAAACCTATAAAGCATTGAGGAAAGAAATGGAAAGCCACAAAGAAACAGAAAGACATTCCATGCTCATGGATTGGAAGAACACATACTGTTAAAATGTCTATACTACCCAAAGCAACGTACAGATTAAATACAATCTCTACCAAAATACCAACAGCGTTTTTCACAGAACTGGAGCAAACAATCCTAAAATGTGTATGGAACACTACAAAAGACATTAAATAGCAAAGCAACCTTGGAAAAGAAAAACAAACCTGGAGGCATCACATATATGTGGAATATTATTCAACCACAAAAAAGAATGAAATCTTGTCATTTGTAGCAGCATGGAGGGAGCGAGAGAGTACCATGCTAAGTGAAATAGGTCTGTCAGAGAAAGACAAATGCCATATGATCTCATTCACAAATGGAATTTAAGAAATAAATGAGCAGGGGCGCCTGGGTGGCTCAGTCGGTTAAGAGTCCAACTTCAGCTCAGGTCATGATCTCACGGTTCGTGGGTTCGAGCCCCGCATCGGGCTCTGTGCTGACAGCTCAGAGCCTGGAGCCTGTCTTCAGATTCTGTGTCTCCCTCTCTCTCTGACCCTCCCCTGCTCATGCTGTCTCTATCTCTCTCTCAAAAATAAAAATAAAATATAAAAAAGAAAAAAGAAACAAATGAGCAAAGGGAAAAAAGAGACAGACCAAAAATCAGACTCTTAACTGTAGAGAAATAGGGGGTGGGGATTAAAGAGCACACTTATCCTGAGGAGCACTAATGTATAGAATTGTTGAGTCACTATATTATACACATAAAATTAATATAACACTGTATGTGAACTAACTGGAATTAAAATGAAATACCTAATAAAAAATATAGAGTCCGTGTCTGCTCACTCCAGCACCTCAGTCAACTTTGATTCTCTTTCTGCCCAGGTTTTGTCTTTGTTGCCAGTGTAGACCTACTAAAAATAACATTTTCATCAATATATGTAAACATGTGTTTAAAACGCACGTATCTTTCTAATTTAAAGTAGAAGCTGAGATTGTTGATCTGAGACCTTTCTTCTTTTCCAATTTATTATGTTTACTGCTATCAATTTCCCCTAAGTAGTACTTTTATAGAGTCCCACAAATCAAATATCGTTGTGTTTTCATTTGCTTCCAGTTCCTAAGATGTCCTAATTTCTGTTTTGATTTCTTCTTTGATCCATGGATTATTTTACAAGTGTGTTATTTAGTTTCCAATTATATAGGGATTTTCTAGAGATTTTTCTGTTGCCGATTTCTAATTTAATTCCATTGTTGTCAAAAAGCATATCTGATACGACTTGAGTCCTTTTAAATGCTTCGAGATCTGTTGTACGACTCACAGTATCATCAGTCTTGGTAAATATTCTGTGTGTGTAAACATGCAACAATCTGTATTTCTGCCCTTGTTGGGTGGAAGGTTCTGTAAACATCCGTTGGGTCAAGGTAGTTGATGGTGTGGTTCAAGTTTTCGACATCCATGATGGTTTTCTGTCCAATCGCTCTCATAGGTGGTTGACAAGAGGTATGAAATCTCTGAGTGTGATCAGGTCTCTCTTCCTCAAGAGTCTATCAGATTGTGTTTCCTGTATTTCAGATGGGTTATTAGGTGTGAACAGGTTTGGGACAGTTTTGTCTTCTCGATGAAACACTTCTCATTACAAAATGAGCTTCCTCATCCTTGGTAACATTCTTCACTCTTAAATCCACTTTGTTTAATGGTAATTGGTGACTCCTGTTTTCTTTGGATTAGTATTAGCATGGCGTACTACGCTGCCTCCTTTCACTTTTAATCTATTCATCTATCTATATATTTAAAGCGAATTTCTTATGGACAAAAGACAGTTGGCTCTTAACATTTTTATCTACTCTGACAATCTGTGACTTTCAGTTGGGTGTTTCAATCACTTACATTCCATTGTAGTTTTCAATCAGGTTTAAGCTTATCTTGCTGTTTTCTATTTGTTCCATCCGGTCTCTGTGCTCTTCACCCTCCTTGTCTGCCTTTTTTTGGATTACTTGTTTTTCATGATCCCATTTTATCTCTTTTGGCTTATTAGTCCTCTTTGCTGTTTTTGTGGGTATTTTCTAGATTGTAGTATACATCTTTATCTTAACACAGTCTCCATGTAAGGATACACCATTTCACGTATCCTATAAGAAAGTTACACTAGTAATGGGGCGCCTGGGTGGCTTAGTCAGTTAAGCGTCCGACTTTCGCTTAGGTCATGATCTCGAGGTTCATGGGTTCGAGCCCCGCATAGGGCTCTGTGCTGACTGCCAGCTCAGAGCCTGGAGCCTGTTTCAGTCTGTGACTCCCTCTCTCTCTGACCCTCCCCTGCTCACGTTGTCTCTCTCTCCTAGAAATAAATAAAACATTAAAAAAAAAGAAAAAGAAACTTACACTAGTAAGCTTCCATTTCTCTACTCATGACCTTTGTGCTACTCTCGTCATCCATTTTGTCTTCTACAAATGGATAAAGCCAACAATATGCTGTTATTATATGTCTTCACAAAAGATTTCCATCACCATTTAAACTTTACATATTTGCTGATGTGGCTGCCCTCCAGGTATCCTTTAGTGGATCTGCATTTCTGAAGGGCGCCATTTTCTCCGTTTGGCGTGTCCAGTAACATCTCCTGTGGTGCCCGTGTGCTGCTCACCAACTTTCCCAGGTTCTGTACTTCTGAAAAGTTCTTTATTTCACCCTCATTGTTGAAAGATATTTTACTAGATATAAGATGGTGTATTTTTTTTCTTTCAGCATTTTGAAGATGTTGCCTCCCTGTCTCTTGCTTTGATAGTTTTTGATGAGAAATCTCCTGTCATTTTAGCTTTGTTCCTCAGTACATAACAAGTCTTCTTTTCTCTGGATGCTTTTAAGATGTTCTATCACGACTTTAGAGCAATTTGATTATGATGTGTTTAAGGTGGTTTTAGTCAGGTTTCTTATATTTGGAATTCACTGGGTTCTTGACAATGTGAGTTTATACTTCTCATCAAATTTTAAGCACCTCTAGCTATTATTTCTTCAAACATTATTTATGTCCCCCTACATTCTCCTCTCCTTCCAGGACTCCAAATACCTACCCATATCTCACTGATTCTATTTTCAGTTTTTAATTCTCTTTTCTCTCTGTGTTCCATTTTAGTTTTTCTGTGTTGTGACTTCAGATCTCCTAATTTTTTCTTCCAATGTCCGGAAGTCTGGTGACACTGTTCATCTCACAGATTGCTGTTTCAGCTACGGAAGGTTGACTTGGGCCATCGACATCTTCCATGATTCTACTTGACTTTTTGAGCATATTGTAATAACACTTATAATAATTGCTTTAATGGCCTTGTCTGCTAATCCTAAAATTGGTGTCAGATCTGGGCTGATTTCAAGGGATTGACTGCTCTCATCATTATGGGTTACATGTTTCTGGTTCTCTGCATGCCTGGTAACTTTTGCTTGAGTGAAATGTGTTTGTGAATTTTACCTAGTTGGGTGTTGGCTAATTTTGTCTTCCTATGAATATTCTTGAGCTTTGTTCGGAGGCACTGTTAATGTCCTCAGAAACAGTACGGTCCTTTGGGGTCTTCCTGTGAAGATACGTTAGGTTGACCAGAGCAGTGCTTGGTCTAGAAGTAATTATTTCC